ATAGTGCCGATAGCTTTCTCTACAGCTTGTCGATTGATTTTATCGTACGAACGAAGAGCAAAGAATTGAATATAATCCTCGGGATTGATGCCAGCCTCTTTAAGTTCATCAAAAATAGATTCGCCACCACGGCAAATAGAGAGATATTGATAATGGCAAACAAGTCGAAGAGTGGCCGCATCATTTGAGTCAACTTCAGCCGGAAAACTTGGCAATAATGGCATACAAACGATTACTCTAAATTTTTCCTTTTTCTGATGAGCAATTTTAATACGTTCAACGAGTTCCTAATGATAACAAGACATAAGTAAGTCTCGTGCGAAGACTCGTAAGTTTCTTACACATGAAATGAAAATGCAACCGCACCTGGCCAAGAAGATTCTTCACAGCGAAACTGTTACTGGCTTTCGTCGCAGTACAGAAGAACTGATTTTCGATATAAATAAAATGTTTCGCTTCTCTGATCAATCTAATATAAGCATTCATAATCGAATGCTAAAAGAAACACGCATGTGAGTATGTGCAACGACTCGAGCCAACGATAAACATATCTCGTCCAGCTACCTCAGTTTCAATACCGTGACTCCATTTACTGCTGCTTCTAAGGATTTGAACTTTTACTGTTCCTTGTTCTGGATGCACGCTGTGTTTGTTACCAAAGTACTCATAGGTTTCAAAACCCGTCGGGTACTCTTTTTTGTGCTCACGCGCATATTGAGCATCAGACTTGGCAATAAGTACAGGATATTCTGGCCTATTCTCGGCCTTTTCTTTTTTGATAAAGTTCCAACGCTCGATAAAATGACGTGCCACGTCAAGGGCAGGTTTGCCGACCTATAAATACCATTAACTTGGTAAGTCGGCCCGTTGGTGCTTATGCAACTAATCACCTTTACTCACAAAGCCGATTGACACGTCATGCCACGGCATACGAGCAAACTCCTTCCTATCAATGAGAGGTTTAGTCCATTTGTTGACTGAAAAGCAAAATTGTAAACAATGAATTAGCCAACTTTTTTTTATCATGAAATCACGTCCCGATCCAACAGTTCTATAACCATACCTTCGGCAAAATCAAGAATTCTGGGGTTGGAATAGTCCTGTCCAGGCCAGACTTCCACGTGGTTTGAAATTCTCGCGTTATCTGCGAGTTGATGACTGTGAGTGTCGTAACGCCCGAAACAGAGATCCAAGCCACCTATGAAAGCTATGCGTCTGTCGATAACAACCATTTTCTTGTAGGAACGTTGCTTCGAGTCAGTCTCTACTATGACTTCTAAAATATCACATTCAATAGACAGATTATCACCTCATGATGCTACAGGAATGGCATTATAAATGCGAAAAAATTACACGTTAGTTAGTTGCAAGAATGAGCCGATACAAAATAAGAAAATTAGTCTTACCGCCCAGAGATACGTTCCATCAACATCATGGTCTGGATGCCTTTGAACTAATACAGTAATTGACGGATTAATTACATCATGTCAGCAGGTTCCAAGTATTATGTCGAATAATCATACCCTTAATGTTCGGATGTAAAGATTGCAGCGCAATCTTGCTGTGCTCGGAATTGAGCGTTAAAAGCTGCGATACTTCTTTGTAAACGACAACATAAACTTTCACACCCTCTTCCGCCTTTTTCTTCAAAAGACGATCGAGACGGAAGTGTTCGTTCTTGGCAGGTGGTCTTCGGAGGTACTATGGAGACATAGACCAAGTATAAAAAAAACAAGATATATAACACATCATTCATAATTCGCTTAATTCTTCAGCTGCGCCACAAGTTTACAGTATCTTATCAATGCGTTCTTACTTACCAATTCAGGGGAGAGCCACCAGTCTTCAATGAAGATTTCTTTTTTGGCTGATGAGAGCGCCTCAGAAACGGCATAGAAATAATCTTTGCCGTCAACGAACCACTTAGCGTGGACATTTTCTCTCGTTTCAGCAAATGAGCCATGTGGATTGTTTTTTTGCAACTTTTCGCCGTGGGTCTCTTCACTAAAAATCAAATTGGAGATAGCTCCAACTGCAAGTCCGGCAGTGTTACCCAGAGTGTCAATTATGCTCATTTTATTGAAGTTGATAGAGAGAATTCGTTAAAGGAAGAACTGGCTTGATGGAGGAGAGTTGTAAGGATGGCTGCCTTTTTTATCCTGGGCGAAGCCACAGCGGTTGTTACGCAAGGCTATACAAAATTCGTAGATTGACTCATTGATAAAGTACAGATATCTTTCCTACAGGTGGCATCATTGATTTGTGCAAGTTCAGAATATTCGATTCGGGTTTGATTACTTCTTGAAACAGTCTCATCTCTTTGTTGTACCACAAGTCTTTGATTAAGCTAAGCCCAGTTTCGCACGAGATGGGCTTAGCCTCTGACATGCTGTGTTGCACGAATGGTGAGAATGTATCACTGAAAGAGTTGCTGATTTGGTCATTAGAATTCCCAGTTTGTGAGATCGGATCTCATCTAAATATCTTAATGTTACACGCTTGACCACTTGTGATAAAGAGAGAAGCTCAACGCCCGATACTGTTAAACTTTCACAAATTAGGGCTCTTTTAGATTACTTAGAATAGAAAGGCACAGGCTTATTCGACTAACATTGTCCCGAAAATAACTCCGCCCTAATTTTCTGTACTATACCGTAATACCGGCAGACGGGCTAGTACTAGTATTAGCATTACGATGTACGGCTGTCACCTGATCTCAGTCCAATTTCTGTGTTCACTAGTGACTGTATGGGGAGTGTGACTATATAGACTGTATGGTGACTAAAATTGAAAAGGAGAACATTAGCAGAGTTATTCTGTTGATGTTTCGATTTAAATTCTTTCACATTTAGTAAATTCACAAATTTCGCGTTTATTAGCTCCTTAACTTATGGAGTTTTTATCTGTTTGATTTTGCCTTCAATATTAGTGTTAGGTAATTACTATCTATCTTGTAATAATTAGAACCTAAGGCCATAGTCTATAGCCTTGGCTTTGCAGTTAGTCTCCTTTTCGCGGCTTTGACATAACTGCAAGCAAGGCATCAAAATGAAGTTAACTTCTGTAAGTATAGAATGCAATTCCTCTTGAAATATAAAAATAAATAAGAGCATCGTCGGAGTGAAAAATGCTCGGATCCAATCATCAATTATACACATATTGAATTGATCCCTAGCTTGTTATAACTATCTTTTGTAGCTTGGAAATATATTGTCGTAACTTCAATCCACACGATCAGTGTATATGGTTATGGTTCAATTGACATAGAGTTTATCACATGAGCACGACTATCGTGTTAACAATCTCCTACAAAGAATGTGTAAATCCGGGATTTACATAGTGATGGGATTTATTAATTGATTTCAATATTAATACTTTCACCTTTGTATGTCAATAGTTGTTGTTAGCAAGAAAAGTGCGTAGTTAGTCTAAATGTAATACTTATGATAACAAACGATAGATGCTGCATAATCATAATTTGGGAATGAAAACATCCATTACAGTGAGGCTTACTTAGTATTAGCTAATCAATTATTTAAACTATGAATCAGCTGTTTACATTTATTGCTGTTACTATCGTTTTGGTTTTAGGATAGAGCAAACGAATTTAAATGTTACAGGATCCTCCTGCAGACAATTGGTATATCAAGACCAGACGTGTTACAATTAATCAGCGAGAGCGTAAGTAGACGGTGAGTTCATGAACCTAATTATCAATATCGATCGTAGACTGTTGGGATAAAACTAAAATTATTACTCCTGAACTCCTTGCCAACGACGCAACGATTTATCACTGGTATCTATACCCTTCAGATACATATGTGATTTGTCAAAGCAATGATCAGTGCTATGTTTCCTTACGGAGGTATCCGTTGCCCCCCCTAAAATTATTATAACGGGCTTGTATAGTGAACAAACTTTATTGGAAAGTGCTTGTTCGTTATGACACATAGTTCGTTATACAACTTCATAACGATTATGCGTTCGTTATGACACATAGTTCGTTATACAACTTCATAACGATTATGCGTTCGTTATGACACATAGTTCGTTATACAA